GAAATGGTTGTGCGTGAAAATCCCAGTATCTGAGCAGATTGTGAAATACTCAGACCCTAGACCCTGGCACAAACAACCATGCCACGCTCAAAATTGCTTAAATCACCTTTCTTTCCCATTCTGACATTCAGTTTGGAGTTCAGGAGATTGTCTTGACCAGGACCACACCCCTAAATGCATTGAAGCAACTGCCATGTGATTGGTTGATTAGATAATTGCATTAATGAGAAATTGAACAGGTGTTCCTAATAATCCTTTAGGTGAGTGTATATATCTGTTAAACCAGATGATGCATCACAGCTCTCTCGGTTAGCAGACTGTCTTACTAGATATCCAATGCTGGATGGCAAATAATTTCCTTATGTTAAACACAGAAAAAACTGTTAACTGGTCCCAAGGCTGCTCGAGATAAGTTTGACCACCTCAACATTGGTGGTTTTCCTTCCCAACCTAACACAGTGCTCAGAGATCTTGGTGTTCTGGTTGATTCATAATTCTGTTTCGATGCTCACATAAAAAGTGAGCATCGAAAAAGTATTACTAGAACTGCGTTCTATCATCTACGGAACACAGCCAAGCTTCAGACGATGCTCTCCTTTCATGATGCGGAGACACTAATACATGCCTTTATAACTTCCAGACTGGGCTACTGTAATGCCCTCCTTTCTGGTTGCCCATCTATATCCTTACATAAACTTCAGCTGGTACAAAATGCAGCAGCCAGAGTTCTTACAAACACAAAAAAAATTGATCATATTAGCCCTGTTCTATGCTCCCTTCATTGGCTTCCAGTTAAGTCTCGGATTGACTACAAAATACTACTATTAACTTATAAAACACTGAATGGCCTTGCACCAGAATACCTTAGTAATCTGCTGGCCTTATACAACCCTATTCGCTTTCTTTGATCTCAAGGTGCGGGATATCTGTTAGTACCTAGGGTAGAAAGAGCTACGGCAGGCTGCAGAGCTTTCTTTTATAGAGCTCCTCAGCTGTGGAATGGTCTTCCACCGGATGTGTGGGATTCAGGCTCACTCTCAATATTCAAGTCTATGCTAAAAACACACCTGTTTAGTTTAGCTTATAGGGACTCTAGTTCTAGCTCTAGCTAACTGTTCACCCCCAGTTAGACCTATAGTGTGGGATGTAGAGCTGCGTGGAGATCAGTGCCACTGAACTGTCAGTACTGTTACTCTAGCTTCACACCCCCTCGTGGAATTAGAGTGCTGACATTTCAGGGACTCCCCATGCCTGCGTTGCCACCTGCCTCTCCTTCATACTTATGCTGCCATAGCCATATCTGCCGGAGCTTACATACTGCACTCACCTAACTGTTTGCACTGCCTCTAGTCTCCCCTACTTTGGCTAATTGCACATTTTATTTTCCCTACCTCTCCTGGGCTGTGCTGTCTGGAGACCCTAAATTTTCAAGATATCATGCCTACCCTGCTGTCTCCACTACCTGTGACATCCTTCCAGCCTACTCGCCCTTCTGCCTGTGACATCCTTCCGGCCTGCTCGCCCTTCTGCCTGCGATGCCTTGCCGGCCTGCTCGCCCTACTGCCTGCGATGCCCTTCCGGCCTGCTCGCCCTTCTGCCTGCGATGTCCTTCCGGCCTGCTCGCCCTTCTGCCTGCGATGTCCTTCCGGCCTGCTCGCCCTTCTGCCTGTGATGCCCTTC